CCCCACTGGTGTGCACACCAAGCCAGTTTTGTAGCTGTCCTCAATATCACCGAGCTGCCTCTAAAGAAAGTCTCATGTTATGGTCAAATTGATTCCATTTCCCCTGTTGTGGACTGAAGTCCTTTTCCAGTCTGCACCTTAAGACAGTGAAACCAGAGTCTTTTCACTGGACTCACTGGAGAGGCAGCTGATTATTGCTCCAATATGTATTGTTCCAAAGTGTGTGTCTATAGCGACCACCCTTTTTATAGCCACATGTCTAATACTCTGGTAAACACTACAGTTGACATGTGAACGTAGTTTTGGGACAAGTGGAACCTCATAAAATCAGAAACAATGCCTGCCCATTAAAAATGAACTGTGCAGGCAGCTTACAGATGACTCCATTGTAGATATGAGAACAGACTTTAGCTGTGTCACTGTGCTCCTTCATAGGTAGAGGGCAGTCATGAGCTTGATCTGTGTCAGTCTTTTCTCCTCACTGAGATTACATAATAGCAGGAGAAGATTTAAAAAGACCAGAGTCCTTTAGGCAAAAGTACTAAACTAACTTCTTGATTCAGCTTTATTGCCACTTTGTACTTTTTAAACGGGTTACATTTTTTTGTACAATTATAGATAAAAATGGAATAGAATTCAACTTTGTCATTGCACATGTCACAAGTACAAGGCAACAAAATGCAAAATGCAAAAATGTGGGTGTGTGGGCTTGTAATACTTAATTTAAGGTAGCGTTCTTTTTGTGTTTGAATGGTTTGAGATATTAAATGTTAAAGTGTTATAACCCTGAATAATTACAGATGTTCAGTGTACAAGAATGGGATTTAAATATTCCTCATTTGTGTGTGTGTTTAAAACTCAGTGGTTTCCTTTTTTTGTCCTTTTGCAGTCAGAGGTATGAGACGCTACTGAAAGACATGGAAAAGAAATCCGAACAGCATCGAGAAGTGTTGTCAAGTTTACAACAGGAGTTTCAGAAAGCCCAGGGCCTCGCTGTGGGCAAAGTCTGATGGAGTGATGTAGCTGCACGCACACTTACACAAAGTAGTTAATATCATGTAAACCTGCGACACTCTGCTTGTTTCTTGGCATTTCTTTACAGTGTTATTACTGTGACTTTTCTCTTGATACGAATAAACATTTTTTTTTGTCATGAACCATCACCTTTGCATTAGTTTTCATTTTAGGGGGCATTTTACCTTTAGGACATGTGCTGCATCCTGACAAATTACACACCAGGCCTGTGCAGCACTCTGTGTTTGTTTCTGTGAACATTTGCCTTAATTACTGGGGCATGCTGGTTGCCACCAGAGCAGATGTTGTCCAGTCACTGACCTCTTCCACAGCTCACAGCAGAGAAAAAAGCACAGCGGTGCTGCTTTGTTCAACTCAATGAATGTGCGTTCCTCTCCATTTACCACCAGCGGAGGGGTTCGCTAATAGTCAAGAAGTGAAGCCTGTCTGAGGGTTTAAAGGAAAAACATATACTCTAAATTAATGCGACTAAACTGTTGTAAGCCAGCGGATTTTGAGCTTTTAAAAACGGTTCATACAGAAGAAATACCAATTATGTTATAAAAGTCGCACGTAAATCGGTTTCTTTGCTGAATTTCGCCGCTAACCTGTGTAATTGTAACCCTGCTTTGCAGCGTAGGCTACATGTGTAAAAGCCGAAGCCGAGCGCATTTACGGGCTCAAACTCCTGCATCACCGGTTTGCATTAAAATGTTTCACATCTGCTGTGAGTATCCTTAATTTGGCTAACGCTAACCTCACGAGGACGTGCGGTAATTGGCACTACGACACGAAGGTGTCCTCGTGCACGAGTCGGTTATCTCCAGCGCGCGTGCTCCAGCAGACCCATTAACACCTGGAGGTGCAATATGCTTTAAACACAGCCAGAGCCGAGCCACTGACGGACCGAAACCAGCTGAACGTTCGGGTATTTAGTCGGTCTACACGAGAGAGATACTTTGCTTTGTTTTGTTTTTTATTGATTTCAGACAATAAAAACTGTCTGTTTACCTGCTATTAAATCATGTGCTGTATTTTGTGGCTCTGACTTGTGTCTCCTGCGAGCGTCAAATGCTTTGTTGTGGAGGGCAAACGGCGTGTTTATTGTGTTCTCCCTAATGTGGGAAAACCATCACGGGCGGGAGCAACTGCTGATCTGCAGGTTTAGTCAAACACTTTCCGATGCTACAGTTTGGGATATTTGTTTTGGGACAAAATTCAATTTCATGTCCTCTCTGGCATCATTCTGAGCAAATCTATCTGATTTATAGGTTGTATTCTTATCCACTTCACAGCGCCTTTAAAAAAACAAGTTTCCTGTTGACCTGTTTGATCTTCATTTAGACAGATGCCCCTCTAATGAAATCTAATCTGATTTCAACTTTAATTGATTTACTTAGTCTTGTGTGGGCTTTTCTTCGTGCGGTTAAAGCTTAGAGGCGCACAAAGGAGCATCCTGTCCAGAGATCAGCGCAGCGGGACTAACACCTCCTTTGATAGATGTTTTCAAACGCACTTTGAAGGAATTCCTGTAGGATTTTTGATAAGGAGACTTAAAGAGGCACACGATATTTCAAGTCGCTATAAACATGAAGCTGTGGATGAGTTTGTGAGTTTTGACGCACAAACACAGAAAAACATACATTCTTTAAAATGTCTTCTTTTATTTGTGTCCTCTGTCATTTTTTTTAAATGTCAGTAAACTTAAGGCATTTCAGCGATGTGAAGGGAAAACAAGAGCAGTTACATTTTCAAATAAAAGGGGATGATTGCAGGACAATCACCGCTACTTTATCCAGGACGGGTAAGCGTTGGGCTGTGACCTATCACATCCAGCGTGCATTGAAATGCTGATGGGGGGCAGTTCCCAGTTTTGAGTGGATCTTTTTTTCAAATGCAGATAAGCACACAATCGAGGCTGTTATCGCACTGATCACACCTGGCGGTAGCCTATTCAGACAGTTTCATCAAATCTGTCACCAAAACCCAGAACGTGGATTTCAAAGTTTCTCAAGGCTAAATAAATATCAGCCCCCCTCCCCTCACCACCAGAGACAGCTTCCGTGATGCTGTCCTTTCAGTGGCTTTGATGACACAAACAACAGCAAAACACTTGCTGGCTGAATATCCCCAAGATCTAAATGATGGAGATGCATCAAGACACTGGCTGAATATATCCAACATGCTCCTTTTACAGAACCTTGTTAGTATATGTTCTAAGTATAGGTCTTTGGTGGAAACAGACCACATCAAATATACCTCAACAAAACTGGCAAACCTACATTACTCAACCAGACCATTTTACCATCTGGACGTTAATATAGTTTAATATATTTGTATTTATATAATGTATTTACTTTAATTAGTTTACTTATTCTATGTGTGTTTAATTATCAGAATAAGATTTAAGAAGTTTGGAATAGTTCTTAAATCACAAATCAACTCAAATACAAGGTCCAACATAATATTATATAAAGCTTATAATGGGGACTCAAACTTTAGATAACATGGACCAAATACATATATAATTTTCAGCATATATTATCATCCTACCCTAAATCAATGCAAATATCCTAAAATAACCCAAGGATCCTCACATATAAATAACACCAATCCAATAGTTTTAAAAGGTCTTTATCATACAGGGTTTTAGTAGCAACTGCTTTGAAGCTCATTCTAAAATTGTGGATCTCTACAGTTTACACTAAAACTTGTATAATTAACTTTGCATTTATTTCCCCTCAGAAGCATTTTCTTTTGCATCGTATCTGTGAGAGGAATAATCTATAAGTCTTACATTATTTTACATTACACAAGCATTCAGAAAAATGTTGCATTCAGTTAACTAAAGATTTGTAACTATGAAAAGAGGATCCGCAGGAGCATCCAGCTATATAACTTTGGTTTGTAAAGTCTGTAATCTGTATGTAGGGTAAGTAATGCACCATAAAACAATACAGCAATTTCAGTGAGGCTCCGAGTCAATTTAAACCCGGTAAAAGGTCTCACTTTAACAAATAAATCAACATATTTAGATAATTTCTTAGTAAGGCTTTTAGTTAGAAATGATTCAATGCAAAAATGTAAATCTAAGTTTTGTTATTTTTTTTCTGGCTTCTGTTTGAGCAAAACACGATAAAATATGTTGAAAAGGAAACGCATTAGATTTAAACCAGACATTCACCTTTATCGATCCCTCATTTATAATATGTTGGACATTTAAATAGTAGCAACATTACTTCATGCCAGAGAAATTAACGAAAAAAGCTG